AAAATGAACCGAACCGTGGCCTCTGAACCGAGGTACGATCAGAACTGTGATTTTTTTTTCCAAACCGTTTTGCACCCCTAATATCTATCTTTTAACATAATTCACATCTGGACCATACCACTGTCTTTGTTGTCTGATTTACAATCAGTTTACTGGACTTAATATCGTTATATGCTACACTAGCTGTTTTTCAGTCTTTGAAATGTTGATGTGGCTAAAATATTTTGAATACAGATACTGTTATTGTTGAGAATAAAATTCCAGGTATATTGGAAATGTTTGTTTTTTGTGTCATATTTTAACTTTGCGTTTATCGATGGTAATGGCACACTAGATGAGAAGAAAATTTCGAACTGGCACTCCATGTCACAAACGTTGCCGACCCCTGCTCTACACTGTAGACTCTGCACACAACTCTGCTCCATGTACAAAAAAACTCGGATGATACCGCTGTTGTAGCATGTGTGAACGGGGGATGAAGCAGAGTACAGGGAAGGGCTGGCTGCCTCCTCAGACTGGTGTTAGAGAAATGGTCTGATTTTCAATGCGTCCAAGAACAAGCAGACGATCATCGACTTTCACAGGAGCCCTTCCCATCAACCGGTCACACTAAATGGACAGGACATTGAAGTGGTACAGCCATACAAATAACCATGAGTCCACCTGGACCACATTTCTGATCTTTTTCATTTATGGTCTGTGCCTAATGACTCACCAACCATGAAACTCACGTCACTGTTCCACAGTATTGTTTTAACTTTACCATGAATCAAGCAGATGATTGCTTTAAGTGAAATAAAACAGCTCCTTTCTTGCTAAGGAGACCACAGTGAACACACAGGCTTTTATTTATGAAGTTTAAATTAGTGGTGACAAGATAATACTACTGCAAAGATGTAGTGTACAAAGGCATGATCTAGAGTCGGAGTCTAGGGCTTCAAGCGCCAGGATTCACTGCAGACAGGGAACATCCACACCAGGTTTTAATAGAACTGTTTGAGATTACTTAATACTCACCTAAGGTTGGATTTTAACTACTTTAGTCACGGGGAGTACCTTTAATGAATCAAGATTACGTAAATCAATTTTTCCGACATTGGTCACACATGGTCTTATTTCAAGCAACATCTATTTGCCAATGTGGTGAGTAGAAACAATACATTCCTGAATTGTTGAATTTAGTATTTGCAAATTCAAGCTTTACATTTTATTTGCTCAGATATGTCTTAAAGAACAAATAGTATGCTTTTGTTGTATTCATTTTGGATTGAACAAGATAAGCAACACTCCCAAAATTCACTTAACTGCATTTAACTGGAGACATGACATGGACACTTCAGTGGGACCAAAGACTGTAATTAGAATATAATGCAATGCTCACCCCCCCAGTCCAATAATGCCTAATCATTGGACTGAAGTGCAAGTTTTTGCTCCAACTCGCTCTGGTATCTATTCCTAACTCCTCTAGCTCAGTAACAGTTTGTGTCACATTCACTCATTTATTCATTAATCCTCATTCCCTTTATACATTTATTGCTTGGGGGCTACGAACCAATCTTAATTACACCAGCCCCTGATGGATCCCCCTGGAGATGGTACCAGCCCCTCACTGATCCTCCTGCAGGAGGTACCAGCTCTATATGCAGTGCTGGGCACGTTACTTTGAAAAAGTAATTAGTTATAGTTACTAGTTACTTCTCCCAAAAAGTAACTGAGTTACTAACGGAGTTACTCCACTATAAAAGTAACTAGTTACCAGTAAAAGTAACTATAGCGTTACTTTTTCGTTTAGTTCTGGAACATCATGTGCACTCGATGTGCGCATTTTTACCTTTAACCTCAGTGAGTCTGAAATAGTGCCAATATTTCCATCTAGAAAAGGCTGTTTTGCTGCTGAAGTTCTGTTCACTCTCCATCACTCTCTGTGCTGTAAGCACTAAACACCAACACCCGCCACTGTGAATGTGGAAACACCGGTGAAGTACTGACTTCAGCCCAATCAGATGAACATATATATCATATAAATCAAGTGGACAATTTGTTTGGCTACAGCAGAATATGTTTCATGCCCGCATTGTTTGTTCATACATAACTATGAGTTATGGGTCTTACCTTATAAATGACCTGCACAGGCCACTTCGGTTGAGACCAGTTCCGTGTTTAAGTCCACATAATAGTTTGAGCGTAGGTATGTAATCCTCCATTTGGAAATGAGTCCAATGAGTTTTAAAAAGTAAAACAAAACGCGTGTCTCCTCCATAAACTCCTCTGTTTTTCTAGCTGAAGCCGGGTGCATCCAATTTCTAAAACCAACCGTCTTACAGGGAATTTACACAGTAGGCGTAAACAGCGCGTACGCGTTTACTGCGCGCTCTCTGCGCGTAACATTTTTTTAGACTATCTACACAGGCCGTGCGCGCAGGTCAGCGTCTTCTGATGCTCTCCCTGTGTAGTCTATGGAACAGTGTAGAGGACATTACAGAGGACTGATGTAGAGCAACACAAATCACATGCATGTGTTTGTCTTCGTGGTCTCTGTGCGCTGGTTTGGCCAGACGCGAGACTTTATGAAAGAAAAAAAACGATGTCCAGAAATACTGTAAAACCTGCTGCTCCTCCTGCTGATGTTTAGATACAAGTGCTGTGTGTGTGCAGATGCGATCTAGAGCCAAGGACCGCTAGAAAAATTATGTTTTACATGAGATTTCAATGGGAGACGCGTTGGTGCGCGCACAAAATTAGAAATCCATCCTAAATTAGAGCGCAGCTTCGCGTCATACGTCCGTCATACGCGCGTATAACGCTAGAAGTGTAAATATCATAGGTTAACATGGAAAAAAGTTACGCGCGTCTGCTGCGCGTATAACGCGTACGTGCTGTAACGCATGATGTGAAAATTAGCAGTTACACTTCACCTCTATTTCTTATCATTAAAATAGTCGTTGAAAAATTACCCTAAGTGCATTTTAAATTATCTTAAAATGTGTTTTATGTATGTTAGCCAAACCTTTTGTTGTCCTTAGCAGTTAAACCAGGAAGAGAAAGGAGCTTATCGATGGAATTGTATGCAGCCGACTTCTGCGCTCACATGCGCTCCTCTGAGGCCTCACGGTGATACAAGCCGTGGTTGAGCGCGATTAAGACCCATATTTGTTTCAAAAACACAATTTATGAGCCATCCTCTCAACTGTAGACATGTAGATTGTAAAGGAAATATGTTTTACATCAGCCAATAATTGCTGAGAGGTTTTTTTCATCCTCCCTTCTCTCATGACAACACGCACACGAGTCCTATCACGAAGTAAAAAGAGAAGTTAATTGTGCGTCTTGAGTAACGCGCAGTAACGGGGTATCGGAAATGATAACGGCGTTATAGTTACAGTCAAAGTAATTAGATTACTCGTTACTGAAAAAAGTAACGCCGTTATTCCCATCACTGTCTATATGTATGTATGTCGCTGTAGCCTCACAATTCTGGTCAGAATGAGAGTCTGAAACTGATCCAGTTGTTCCAACCAAACCAGGAAAGACAATGCTTCTTCACTCTATTGGATTACCCATGGTTAAACCATCTTAGGCATCTGTGCAATCTCGCAGTGCGAATGGGGCCTCGGCGCACACAAAAACTCAGATATAATTCACAGATATATTTACGGCTAATCTACGTGATTAATTAGCCGTAAATATATCTATATATATATTTCTCCCCGAGGAAATACATTTATAAAGGGGATGAGGATTAATGAATAAACGGGTGAATGTGACACAAAGTGTTACTGTTAGCTATTACTATTAGCTTGTTTGTCAGCCACATATTGTTAGTGTATGGACCGTACTGTATTCTGAATACAACAGTTACTTCAAGCTAAAGTTTCTTGTGATGAGACAATAAATTTGCTAATTAAACAAGTCGACACGCACACATTGGCATAAAGTTATTGTTAGAAAAAAAAGTGATTTACTTCAAAACGTGTTTAATCTAGGTCAATTTAGTAAATAAATTTAAAATGGTGAAAGACATAGAAATAACGAACATATTCTAGTAATGTGAGCCGGAGTGAATAGAAAGAAGGTGCTAAAACAATGCAACTGTAATGTCTGCTGTACGTTATCCATTCTGATAAAGTGGAAGGAGACGTATTCAAACTAAGGATAACTTATAACTCCAAATCCTTCACACTTGAGGAAAACTGTCAGTCAGTGTCAACAGCTGGGAGTCTTTCATTCCTGAGTCTTATTAAAACACAAGCAACTCAACACCATGAGGTGAAGTGGAAAACTAAAAGCACCATACGTCCCTTTGGATCCGGAGACAGGGCAAAGGCTGCAGGGGGAGCGTCCGTTATCAAAGGAGAAGATGGTATCTGTAAAAGGTTTAAAAATACACATTGGAGGCAAAGGAAGGTTTCTCACCCATCATCTGTACTTCTGTGTCATCCACACGGTGGATGACACAGAGGTTAAAATTCTGGCTCGGGAGAAGAATTGGTTTGAGAGAGGAGTGAAAGAAGCCATTTTTGTGAGGAAACAAAAACCTTCTCTTAACAGAGGAGGAGGGTTAAGATTTGTTTTGCCTCGCATCTATGACGACATCCTAAAAACAACGCCCTAACTTGGGACAAGGTCAGTGACATGCTAATGAGTTAGGAGGGGTGAAACCTGCACTCCACTTGAGCATCCCAGCAGACAATAGGTCTGTGACATGCTAAGGAGTTAGGGTCGTTAGCCTCAGCAGGGTCGTTAGACCTGCTCCCTTCTACATCAAGCAGACCGTAGATTGTTTATGAGTTAGTATCAGGATTAGGGTGTGGCTAACCACACCCATAGGTTATAAATCTCCAACGCGCGGTCGGAGAATTCATTCCCTGAAGAAGTCCGCTAGGTTGAGGACGAAACGTCGGGAAAACTTGCTAAGAAGTACAGATGATGGGTGAGAAACCTTCCTTTGCTTTGACTAATCCCTGTACGACTGAGAGCTTACACAAACACATTGGAGGCATTCAGCCCTCCATGCCAAAGTCTTCTGTGAACTTCTTGACTTTGAGCAGGTCTTCAGTGTTGACCGTAGGCCGCGTGGTGGAGAGAGAGCGCAGCATGTCAGACTGGAAGCACAAGACACACAACAGCTAAATAAGAGACCAGTTTAAGAGCACAGTAGAGCTGCAGCTCAATTATTATGGCGTCAAAATAGGGTCTGCTTGAACGTACTGTAACCGTAAAGCAGGAATTGTAAATGTAGGTTGTAAGTATTGTAAACATAAAAATATGTTGTAAAGGAAAAAAACTGTAGTAGATGTAAAACGTTTACGCTTCTAATTTTTTCTGTTTTGCTTCATAAGTTACGTTTATGATTGACAAGTTATGTTTTTAAGAGTCAAAAGTTACGGTTACAATACAGTTTTCACCCGACCCTTTTTTCAAGGAGCGGGTTCAGCGCGCTCATAGGCTGGAGGGACCGGATTTTACGTCATCACAAAAACAAAACCCATGCACGTTACTACAGAAGACCAAGAACAAGGCTTCTGGTCACCTGCGGAGACCTGCGCATATTAATGCGAAGAGCCAAATTAACTCAAAATATAACATAACACATAAATTAATAATGTAATAAGCCGAGTGGCTAAAGAAAGTAGCATAGGGTACGTTTTGAGAAGTTGTTGTGTTGTTCAACATCCCGAGAGGACATCACCCATTTGCCCACAATAGGATAAGATTGTGGCTTCAGGCAATTAAAAGAGCGGATTGGAGTGGAGTGGTCCTACGACAGGAGTGAGCATCTGCGGAGCTCACTTCATATCTGGTAATGGTCTGTGTCCTACAGTAGCTAGTAATGAAAAAGTCCAATCCATAAGTGATCACTCGGTTACATGATGTCACTATAAGAACATCATGTAACCGCTGTGTCCTGATGTACTGTAATCATGATCAGTCAAGTTAAAGCTATCTCACTTAAGGCGCCGCTATAACAAACAGCTAACGTTGCTAAAATGTTAACATTGGCTGTTTTGCTAAATAAGTGAAAACAGGCTTCAAATAACTAACTTAACAGTTGTTCATAAGTGAGCTTGTGTAGCCTTCTAGTAACAATAAAATAGAAGTACACACAATATTCACAATATTTTAGAGCTGTAAAACTATCTAGAACCATGAAGTTTGCTGTGTTTTTACCATTAATACAAAGACCAAAAGTGATCAACCCGTATACCACTCAAAATGTAGTAACTACTCAATAATGTGGCTTCCTTTATCAGGAGAACTGCGCCTTGCATCTGAGGAGGGGAATGCTGAGCTGAGTGCAGGGAGAGACGTGATGTGGATTTCTTTTATTTTGTGCAGAGCTACCAGTTAAAGACCTTATGACGGGTTTGATTTATTTAGAAATACAGTTTTAATACCATTTTATATTAGAAGAAAACTACTAAAGGTTTCAAAATCAGTTGTTGTTTTTTTTGTCTGATCCCCCCAAATCGAAATAACCCCATAGCAACGCCCTTAGAAACGAAAAAACTTCACAGCCCTTGGTGACGTCAGAACGGGTACGTTTCAACGCTGTAAGTTGTTTACAATTTGGTATTCGTTCTTTTTTCGCGGATATTCAAGATGACAAGGCCGTGTACAGCGAGTCTAAGATAACTACTAGAATGTAACATTTTGTTGTCACTGAGATAGTCCAGTGGTTGTGTCGATGGACTGCCAATCCAGACACTTGGGTACAAATCCCAGCTCGGACATTTTTTCACACTCAAAACGGCAATTTATGTGTAGTGAGCAATTGTCACCTGTAGAGGGCAGTATTGTGTTGGGCATCAGTGGAGAGGAGAGAGAAAAGGCAGTCCTGTGGCATAGATCCATGGTTTTCAATGCATGGGCGTAACCCGCTATGACGTCACACACAGGTTAGAGCATAGACAACTTAAATTCATGAAAAACACGTTCTTTTTATAAAATATAGGATTTTTTTTTACGGAATCTCTTTCAAATTGACATTGTCATGCAATTTTGATATCCACTATTTTTTTTTTAAAAACCCGTCATAAGGTCTTTAATGTCATCCAGTGGTCTTCCTTGTGTTGTGGTCCTTCTTCAGACAGAGCAGAACATAGAACACAACGCAGATTACACTAATAAAGGGGTTAATGGGTGTGCACAAAGTCAAGACTGTAATTGAACAATAAAAACAAGTTACATTTCCATAGCCTGCCATACAAGAACAGCTCAGGGAAAGGATGTACCCCAAGTCTTTGTAGACGTACACCCAGTGGAAGTATTTCACATTCTTCACATGCTCACATAACACATAATTGCAAGTATTTATAGATGTATATGCTTTTGTGTTCTCTTTTAATATTTTTTTTCTTGACACTCAAGGTTGCCTTACATCCAAGTAAAAAAGTCCATTTTAAAAACTGTTAAAATGCAAGGTTAAAAGCATCATGGAGAGAGGAGAGTGTGATTATGATGTTAGTGAGTAGGCTTGTCTAAACAGATGAGTTTTGAGGATGGATTTGGAGAGTGTTCCTCTCCAAATCCTCAAATCCTATTCCATAGGGTGTCCACAAGAGTGCACATACCACGTGAAAGCCTACAATAGCCAGCCCAGTTGAAAAAAATTTGATCAATCATACGCTGTAGAGAGTTCGAACAAGACATGAATGTCTTGAATTTTGAATTTTAAGGGGCAGGCTCAACGCAGCCAATGGGCGCGTTGAGCCTACCCCTTAAAAAAAGGGTCAGGTGAAAAATGTATTGTAACTGTAACTTTTGACTCGTAAATGTAGCTTGTGAATTGTAAACATAACTTGTGGAGCAAAACATGAAAAATCAGAAGCGTAAATGTAAGTTTTACATTTACTACAGTTTTTTCATTTACAATATATTTTCATGTTTACAATACTTACAACCTACGTTTACAATTCCTCCTTTACGGTTATGTTCAAGCAGACCCTATTTTGACGCCATAAATTATCTCCTTATTTTTTGACTTAAATAAATCTATTTTATTTTAGCTGAGGACAAGAGGACAAAGATAATGCTTTAAAGTGCTCTGGTCTAAGAGAATAAAACTGATTCAAACATGCATGAATTATGTATGCGTAATTGAAGGACAAATGATACCACTCATGTCATGCAAGATCCGATATCTAACCTTAACCTTGCCCATTATACCTTGAACTCGAGCCCTATCCTTAACCCAAATTTAACCTCTAACCCTACTCTATCCCTAACATTAATAAACATAAATCCTGGGAAAACAATGTCGACGTTGATCCTGGACTGTTGATTATTTGGTGCTTGTTGTCATAGAGATGCTATTGTTTTGCTTGTAATGTCACCTAGGATGATTTATATCTTGTACTTTCTTAAATTATGGATAATTATAGTGCTTTTAAAAAAAAAGTAAATAAATATATCTTACCATACACACAATGGGCTCCAGCAGCTTATCACTAGGCACATCCATCCATGTCATCTCTATGGCAGCGGGGTCACCAGGGGAACAGGGGGTTAGCAGGTCCTCCACCACGAGCTGGCTGTTACTGCGAGAGGGGCCACCCACCTAAAGCAGCACCACAACACCGGATCATTCCACCAAATTAGATCACAATCATCATACACATTTTTTGCATGGCATTGAGACATTGTGAAATTTAAGTAGAAAATATATGGAAAGAAGATATAGATATTCAACCACAATTCTACATCTCAAGAAGACCCTCAGAATCCCCTTTTTCTCTTTTAACCATCCATCTATCCATTTTCTTCCGCTTCTATCGTTAACGGGTCTCGGGGCAGCGGTCTAAGCAGAGACGCCCAGACTTCCCTATCCATACACACTTCCTCCAGCTCACCCAGGGGGAAATTATTAGTTCTACATCATGGTGCTTTAGCCCCTTAGGCTCACTGTGGGTGACTCTAGAAAGACTATCAGAGCCTACGGCTCTGATAGTCGAAGGTGGAAGGTTTTCAGCGACTGGTGCGCGGTATGATCTTGGGACCCCATGTCCTGCCCTCTGGAGGAGGTGCTGGGGTTCCTACAAGAACTGCTGGAAAATGGAAGGGCTGCAGGCACCCTGCCTCAGGCCACGGGGGGGTTCGGGACCTTCTCGGCCCGCTCACACCCGCTGGTCAAGCGTTTCCTTCGGGGGCCCACAGGAAGAGGCCCGTTCTCAGGAGAACGCCCCCACTCTGGGACATGGGGGTGGTCCTGAGAGGGTTGTCGGGGACTCCTTTCGAGCCGGTGGCCCAAGCCAGCCTCGAATGTGTCGCTATCAAGACCGCCCTTTTACTGGCTCTGGTCTCAACCAAAAGGGCGGGTGACCTATGCGCTCTCTCCATTCGTCCAGACAGTCTGACGTTTGGAGCCGAGGATGGTCTGGTAGAGCTTTGGCCGAACCCAGCCTTTCTCCCCAAGGTCGTCACTTCGGCCTTAAGTTCAAGGGTCATCAGGGTCAGACCCTTCTATCCGCCGCCTCATGCCTCGGAGGAAGAGGGGCAGCGCCATCTCTTGTGTCCAATCAGGATGCTCAAATCCTATCTGGCCGCTACAGCTTCCTTCAGACGCTCTGATCAGCTGTTTGTGTGTCTGGGCCCGAAGAACAGGGGCGCACCTTTGACGTCTCAACAGCTGGCACACTGGATATCTCGGGCGATTCGCTTGGCTTACCAAGCCCAAGAATTGGTTCCCCCGGTGGGGTTCAGGGCGCACTCCACACGTGGAGTCGCGGCCTCTACGGCCCTCCTCTCCCGCTTGGAGGGAAAGGGCGGCCTGTTGTCTGGTTCCACTGAGGACGCGGGGAGCAACGTCAGCCCCACCGCGTCCTCCACGTGCTTTAGGAGTCCCTCCAGCGTGTCCTTGCCTGGGGTCTCCTTCTTGTGGGACGTGCCCGAAAACCTCCCCAGGGACGTGTCCAGGCGGCATCTGGCACAGATGCCCGAGCCACCTTAACTGGTTCCTCTCGATGTGGAGAAGCAGCAGCTCTGCTCCGAGCTCCTCTCGAGTTACTGAGCCCCATCACCCTATTCGCAATCGCGTCTCTTCGGTCATTACCCGAAGCTCATGACCATATTCTAACAGGTGTTTTTAGCTCCACCCACACCCATACGAGTAACTTTGGAAATCAATCGGCACAAACCCTAATATAAGAAACTTTATTCGTTCAGATCAAATGAATGACACATGTACAGGTTCAGCAGTTATTGTTTTACAGTCTGACAGCAGCAAGAAGGAAAGACCTGTGGAACCTTGTCTTGAAACAGCAAGGTGGACCAATCTGTCACTAAAGCTGCTCTCCAGAAGAGACAGAGTGTCCAGCAGGGAGTGACAGTCATGGTCATGGAGTTATACATGATATTGATGTTACAATGAGTTCTGTGTATACGGCTAGAGTACGCAATAAACTACAACACAATTGAACGTAACGCGATGTGTCGTCAATGACAATACTATACAGAACAAAAAATACTACAGCGTGATAGGACGCTATATTCATTGGGTGCGTTCGTAAATGTAATCTGCCATTCTGAAAATGAACAAATGGAAGTGCCCGAGCCCGGTCATCGGGCCCCTAGGGCTCAAGTGCAGGGCTTTAGCCTAGTAGCCTTGCAAAAGAACTAGATTTATTAAAGTGTATTTTTTTGTCATTTACAGGAAGCAGACGTACTTGGAGAAAAACTGCAGGCGCTATGAACCGGAGCAAGGGTAAGATTTAAAGAATATGCTTTCATATATTTAAGCATATTCTAAGCATATATATAAGGAAATAGATATAGATACCATAGGATAGATACCGATCATAACTATACATTTTGTTTTCACAGAGTAATCTAGCCTCATAATGAGGCAGTGACCTCCTATTTGCTCAGAGCAATATCTGCAAGGCCAGATTCAGCCAATGTTGATAAAGATGACATTGTGTGTAAGTGACTTGTTTTTACCGTTTCTTGATTGATGTAACTGCGACTTGCGTTTGGTTTTTATTAGGGCCGGGACTTTAACGGCCCGGCCCTAATAAACTTTAACGTGTTAATTGAGATAAATTAACGCCACAAAAATTAGCGCATTTTAATTGTATTGTGTTTGTTGCACCGCGGAACGTTCCTCACTGGATCAGTTTCAGACAGACCGATTATAATTGAGCGCCAACTGAGCTCCGTGACCTTTTTTTTGTTTAAAAGTAGATTATTACAAGCATAGACCAACTTTAGCGGTGTCTCAATCCGAGTGAGTTAGAGACAGGAATGAGCGCTGTGTATGGAGCGATGGACTGTGTGTGAGGAGGAGGAGGAGCAGCGACTTCTGTGTGTCAGAGAAGGAGGCGGAGGAGGCGGAGGAGGCTGAGGAGGCTGAGGAGGCGGAGGAGGCGAAGGAGGAGGAGGCTCACACAGGTGTGAGCTGCTATTGCTAATGTCCAAATGCACACATCAAAAACGTATTACTAAAAGTTTTAGCAAACAGCGCATGTCCAGCTTTAGTGTTCACAGCGAGTGCAGTGGATTTTGGGCATAAAAAGAGTCTGTTGTTGTCAGAGTCTGTGGAGGTGATGACAGAAATGTTATTGGATGGGAAAGATGTCCCTCTGATCCCCTTATCCACAATTAACATGTGTTGCTTCAGCTTATGTATTCAGTCATTATTCAATGGTAAACTAAAAATCCATGTGAAAAAAAAGACTTCTCACTGTTCTCAGGTCAAATATTTATATGCGATTAATTAATTACAAAGCCTCTAATTAATGAGATTATTATTTTTAATCGAGTCCCAGCCCCAATTTTTATTCATACCTCTCTCTTGATTGTTTTCTAGCCGCCTGTAAGACATTATGAGACAGTACGAAGGAGCTTTAGATATACCCAGCCAGAAAACTCATTGCGACCGGGAGCTCGAAGAGTTCAGCTCAGAGTCGAGAAGAAAGAGGGTAAGACTTTCTTTGGCGAATATTTTTCAGGTGCATTGATAGATGTGTTGTGTCCATACGCAGTGCATCGCATCGCATAGTACTGATTCATTGTTTTATTTTTTACAGCTGCTGGAATCGAGACAGAGTGTACTAGCAGATGACGAGGTGGAACTCTGAAAGTCCACCACCGTAGACCTCATGTCTGAAAAGAAGATGGCGTTGTTGGCGGTGTCTCTGGATGGATTGTACGGGCGCTGTCATTTCGTCCGGAGCTCTCTGAACCCTGTGCGAAGCTGCAGTCCCGGTTAGAGGCGACGCGGAAGTACAGAACCACGAACAATAGGCGTCTGCACAACAGACCTGTCTCGGAAAAAACACTGGCAGTTATCTACAACCCTGGGGAGGCCAACGGACAGTTCACGGAATTGTAGTTTTTGGATTATCCTCTACCCATGTGTGGGCATAAAGCTCTTAATAAAGCTCTTTCTTTGCATAAACATGTTCATTTCGTCTAAAAATTAATTCATGTCCTTGATGGCTTAATAATAGTGTAATAGCCTACATAGGATAAAATGAATATACAGCATAATATGAAAAAAAAAAACATATATATATATATATATATATATATTATATATATTATATATATATTATATATATATATATATATATTATATATTTATTTAGGGCTGTCCAAAATAGCGCGTTATTAACGCGTTAACGCAAATCAATATTAACGCCGTCATTTTTTTTATCGCGCGATTAAAAAAAAAAAAAAAAAAATTTTTTTTTTTTTTTTACTTTTTATTGCAGACAAACACATATACAGAAAAAAAATAGAAACAAAGAAAAGGACTAGTTCAGATACATTGTAGACAGAGATTACAAACAATATGTAGTTGGAGATACAGGGGGCCAAAGAAGAAACCCAGAAGGGCACATAGGAGGGGGGGGGGGGGGGGGGGGTTAGGGTTAGGGGGTTAATAAAAAAGGCAATACAAGCAAACAGTATACAGTCATAGATATACCGAAGGTAAACAGAAACAGCATAGAGTATACACATGAACAAATTTACAAAATATTTACAGATTGTTTATCATCATCATAATGACACCATGATGTTTCTATACAGTCTATGGTCTATACCCACACATACACACACACACCCACACACACACATTGAAGGGGCTTTTTGTTACCAATTATTTATTTTGTCATCCATTTATTGATGATTTTGCATCAAATGTTAGTGTGTAATATAACACTACACCTTGTTTTCAATTAAAAAAAAGCAATTGCACACAGCACGCAAATGTGTGACTAATTTGCGATTAATCGCGAGTTAACTATGAAATTCATGCGATTAATCGCGATTAAATATTTTAATCGTTGGACAGCACTAATATTTATATATATATATATATATATATATATATATATATATATATATATATGTAAGGTGAATTAAAGGACGCCCAGTCGAACATTGACCAGCAGACCAGGATACGTAAACATGCCCTCCTGAGCATGACCCATCTTGAGCCACATCTAAGGGACGACCAGGTCAACCAGAGGACATCATCGGTTACCGAGACCATAAGTGTCCACCAGGGCAATAAACTGAGCCCCAGAATAAACATCTTTGTACCTTTCTGCCGCTAGAGATCAAAGATCACAACTCTGCTCTCACTCCCGGGACATTCCTGTCCCTGGACAATCAACGACTCACCCACGGCGTTCTGGCGCCCCCCAGTGGACACTGAACACTATCACACCCGGGACGGACATTTTAAACCAGCACTCCTGGATTCATTATTCCAATAATCTGTACTGTGCCCTACACGTGTGTATCATTGTCAAGTAATGTAAATGCGGTGTGTGCCTGTACATGTGTTATGAATGTCTGTATTAATCCTGCGTTTTGCCATTATAACATGTCTGTTGTGAAGGATGTCCAGGGAGGCGCACAAGGATGACGCCACGGACGCGCCCCCTTTGACCACAACAAAACCGAAGCGCGGACCCACAGACTGCCTCTTGGTTCTCCCTTGTAATCACTATAACAACCTTCCCTTTTCGGTACGTGTCTCCTACACGGCCTACACCCGCTACCTTCTCGGGCCTGTACATCCACGAGGACAGCAGCCACCCCCGCTGTCGGAGACGAGGACTCTCCATCGCCAGCCACTTTCGGGCTCTCTGGACACCCCACCGCAACGCCATTCTAGACCGTGTTGTGTGTGGAACCCACGTTTGGATCCGACCCGCTGGTTTCCTCCTGCTCCCGTTCGGACAAAGGACACGTGGACGACACCCTCGCTTTCCCCCATCTCCATTCTTCATTCTTCATTCTCACCCTCTCCACTGCCCTCCATCGCCATTACCCCTTTGGACTTCTCAAAAGTAAGACTGTTCTTTGTTGGAGTGTGATTCGAATGATATGTATAGCAATCTTTACTTAATGTGACCAGAAAACCCTTTTCGTTGATATTTTCTATTTTCATTTTTGTAGTCAATAAACCCACGTTAACTTTAACTCAATCACTTCAGCGTCGTGTTTTTAAGTCTTGGGTATCCCTGGCCGATTTTCGTACTCAAAACCATCAGATTTGTGATACTGGTATCGAGGCAAATATCCCTGGGTCTGTCGTAGACTCCCAACGTCTACTGGTGCCCTAAATAAATAAGACAGATCCCTTGGTGGAACGGCGAGTTTCTGATCCGGAGACTAGCCGATCCACACTACTAAATTTAAGCTACCCTACATTTAAACATATACTACATATATATATATATATATATATATATATATATATATATATATATATATATATATATATATATATATATATATATATATATATACAGTGCCTTGCGAAAGTATTCGGCCCCCTTGAACCTTTCAACATTTTGCCACATTTCAGGCTTCAAACATAAAGATATAAAATTTTATTTTTTTGTCAAGAATCAACAAGTGGGACTGATAATGCTGTTTCAGCTACAGTTGAACCTGATGAAATCTCACACAACAAAGAGACAAAGTTAATCTTTTACTTGTTACATTGTACAAGGAGAATGTCTTGACAGAGGCAAGGCACAGACCCCAGCCTCTCTCAGGACAAGTCTGAAGATTCACAGATGGCAAGCCCCTTTTGGTAGAGCAAGACA